CCACCCATCCACACATCCATCATCCATCCATCCATACCCACCCATCCATCCATCCATCCATCCATCCATCCATCCATCCATCCATCCACCCACCCACCCATCCATCCATCCACCCACTCACAGACTCACCCATCTACTCAAGTACCCAACCACTCACCCAACCACTCACATATCTAACATCCCCCGCCAGCCCCCCATCCACTCAGGAGACATATATTAAGCTCCTCCTATGTGCTAGGCAATGGAGATACTAAGCATGGTTCACTGTTGGATGGAGCCACATAGGATGGTGCAAAGGCTGACAGCTGAGAGACCTGTGTCCGAAAGATCAACCCCTGATCACATTTTCACGGACTCTAGACTCTATGAAATGATAACCCTGAGAGAGCAACCTTGAACCCAAACCATCACCTCCTGAAGTCAGTCATCTTACAATTGAACAACAGTTCTGCTTCCCTGTGTATGAAGGCTGCTTAGACATTGTGGCCGTGTATGGGACCCGATTGACCACAACCTGAAAGGTGAGCTTGGAACTTTGTGTGTGTGTTGGGGGGTGGGATATCCTCCTAAGAAGCCCAACCCATTCTTCACCTCCAGGTGAGAACTCAGCTGGGAGGGAACCAGGAGGGGATGCGCAGGTACCAGGCTCTGTCTCCCACACAGTAAGGGCTCCACTGCGGTCTGCCCTGGAGTGAGGATAGCCCCATTGACTCCTCTCTACCCTGAGCAGAACGCCCCCAGCAAGGTGGGCCCCAGTGGGCTGAGGGAGAAGTCCCCTGGGTTCAGGCGAGGTCCAAGGAACTGGGGGCTGGAGCTTTGTCCGGGGGTGGCACCAATTCGGACATCTTCCTGAGAGCTGGGGTCCCTACAGCCTTGGAATGGGAGCCCCCAGGTCTCGGCCAGGGGCTGTACCCTCATCCCACTCAGGCCCAGGGCAATTGGGAGGCGGCTACTGGATTCTTCCTCTCCCTGTCATCCCATGCCTTCCCACCTCTGCTCCCCAGCGTGGCCGGTCCCCTACCAGCGTCTCAGTTTCCCTGAGTGTTGGAGGACACCTAGCTTTGGGTGAAGGACTGAGCAGCCCCATAGAAGACCCCCCTCCCCCACCCCTTGCCACCTCCACCCTCCACACCCAAGCCTCCTTCCTCTTCTCTCTTGGCCTTCTTCGTGCCTTCTGCCCAAAGCTTGGCTCCTCTTG